AGAGAGACCAGTCTTGAAGCAACTTCTCAATTTAAGTACATCATTCTCAAAAAAAAAAAAAAAAAAAAAATTGGGTATGCACCTCCATCTGTTTGAATAGTGATTTCATTTTGGATCGTACTGTACTGTCATGATGACCTTTACAGGAACGTGGGGAAATAAAACTCACACGCTTTTGTATTTGATCAGCTGTGAACTTTTTTCGTCTTCAACTAACTTCATGCACCGGTACAATAACTCGTATTACCAGATGAATTAGCTTTTTCATACATGCAATGCACACCGCCTTCTTTTTGTTCTGTATTTCTCCCAGCATTGTTACCACTTCATTAGAGCTCTTTATCTGTTAGTCATGTCTTATTTTCGTATAGGTAGAACCCCTTTCAACCTTCACATAGGTGAAATGTATGGTAAAGTGGTTTTACGGGTCAAAAGAAGGGAGTTAGCCACAATACTGTGCCAAGAATTTGACATGTTGACAGATTACTTTACTTAGAAAAGTATTTAGGGTTACTCATTTTCTAAACACTTTTAATACTCACCATGTAGGAGTCAAATGAGGCCTTCATTCAGTTACGATACATAAGGCCCCTATAAGCTGACGACTGTCACAGACAGTTAAGTTTTAAGATACAATCATAGCTGCAATATGGACTGATTATTTTTTTTAACTTTATCCATCATTAAGTAAAGTAACCTCATCAGACACAAAGGAAAGAATAAATATTTTTCATCTTCCAACTTTCCATCCCAGGTAAGACAATTTTCAGTCTTTGTGTTACACTTTTGTAAATTAAGACATTCCTACTTTACATAATCTGAATTTCAATATAATGAGTGACTATTGCCTTTCTTTTCTTAGCATTACAAAACTGAATTTTTCTGACCAGAATTTTCCATGCAATTCATATGCTGTATATTTAAACGCAGCAAAGTAGTTGTATACATTCACTGACTGCGAACAAGTTTTATTCAATCAAAGTATAACACTGCTAATGAATAAATTTAAGAATAAAATTACTGTAAAAGTTCTTTTCTTGTTTTTGTAATAAAACATATGTACACAAACGGTAAAATGCAAAATAAAGTAGACATATTTTATAAACTGAATAGAATTGATTCAAAGGTGTAGTTTGACTTTCCTTTTTCTTTTTTGCTTACAATTCACAAGCAATTTAATCCAACCTAACGAATGCTATCTGACAATCTTAAGGCATATAAACAAATTTCTCCTCTTACATTTTCTCGGTTTAGGTTAGCACAGTGATTAAGCTTCAGCTGACCCTATAAAATTTTAAATCTGGTCTGTAATTGTTTCAGAAAACTTCTGAACCTGTGACAAGATTCCCTCAGTTGGTGTAAGATTATTCTTTTCATTTGATTTGAGTCATTGATCATCAATATATGCTTTGACTTATATACTGATGCTTAATATTACTGTCAGTATTTGTCAATATCAGAACAGAAGAGATACACTGTTTTGAACTGCCGAGAGGAATAATAGCCAACAAGATCTTGATATAGAGTTCTGTGTATGATGTGAGGCTTACCCGGTCGCCTCTATACAGGCTACAGCTGAAAAGAAATCTTGTTAACATCTATAAATCATCGACAGCAATACAAAAGTATGTAAAATATGACAAAGGATTGTAATATAGGTATAATTTACATTGTCAAATTACAACAGTAACAGTGTCATCTACAACATGAAGATGCAACAGTATTTTGTAATGGTGTCAATCCAGAGGGGGCTGTGTGTGCCCCAGGTAAGGCACACACAGTGATGGTCATAGACAGATTTGCAATGTTCAAACCACTGCAGTACAATTTGATGATATAACCCTCAAACAAATGATAGAGACAAACAGAAAGCAGCAGGAGACATAAAGAAAGAGAGACCGTTGCAGATAAATCAGATGGCAGATTACATGGAATAGCAGCAAATGAGAAAAGAGAAGATGAGACCAGCAAGAAAAGAAAGAAAATGAAAAGCATCAGCAACCATGTCAAGGATGACCCTGTGCCCTATGGAGCATGTACACATGCCTGCTTTAAGGTTACACTCTTATTTGAACATCAAGCCAGCTGAGAGGCCTGTGTTAGCACAGTTTGCATAGCATGTCACCACTCAGTACAAAGGCCTATGACAGAAGACCAATATCTCTACAAGATAATATCTTAGAGTAAAGAAAGCACAAAGAAACATTTTAGTTATTGTTAAACAAGTTGAATAAAGCATTGTTTGTCACCTGTCATCCAATGCCATGCTTGAACTCCAACTTAAAACCAGGAAGTGCCAAACAAAACTGACACCTGCCACTGGCTGATATGGAGGTGGGCCAAGTGGAAGGTACCATGATTGAAGGAGGTGGAGGGGTATTGGGACAGTTGAAATACAAAATGCCCTTTTAATGGTAACCTGAGCATTAACTCTACGTAAAAGTATTTGAAAGAATTTTGCATCCCCACCGCTAAAGTTTGGAAAATGTGCAAACCATCACAACCACAAATCATGAATCCTAGTTTCTTGGTAGCAGCCAGGTTCTATGTAAAAGGGGTCATAAAAACGGGATGTTCATAAAATCCTGTTAGCATAAAAGCATAACAGTTACACTCCTGCATAATGATGATGAATGTACTGGCACTGCTGCAGGAAACCTGGTGTCACTCGTTGTTTTTTTTCCTTATTTTAGAAGCTGACAAAAAATAACCTGCCCAAAGTATAGCATGAATCAGAATTGATGGTTGCAGCTTTCCTTCTGACAGAGCACACACTTCGGCCACCCGAGACCAGATGCAAGAGGAATAGCCCTTCTTAAACCATACCTTATCTGTTAAACACAGCAGGGTGGCACAATATTTGTCAGCAGATGGTCTGCTTGCTTAGCTATAAGAGCACACACTCCAAGAAACTCTACATGCAACAATAAAAAGATAAATCTATATGACAAGCAAAGTTTTCCCTTCAGTTATTGCACTTCAGGAAAAAAACGTTAAGTTTGCTTTAAAAGAATAAAAATGAACAGTAATAATATTGCTACTTTATTTAAGAGGATTATGATTGAGGTGCAACTCTTTCTGAACCAGATGAACCTGTTTCTCAAAATCTCAACAGTGAAAACAATGAGGATAAATGCATCAAATGTGTTCCCACAACGCTCAAAACTTGGCAGGACAAGTTAAGCAACTGAGAGAACAATTGGACCTGCCTTTCAGGTTAAAAATTCAAAGCCCTGAAATGAAAGTCTTGTGAATACTGAATACATTAACAAATAAAAAGCTTACTCAAACATTTAAATTCAGCCCTTAAATATCTTTATTCTTCTCTGCTGTTCATAAGTAAAGTAACTTACGAAAGGTTCTTTGAATCTGATTGTAACCTACAATAATTGTGATTATGTATTCAGGGGAATACTTGATTCTGCTGAACTGAGTTTTGCTTGGCAGGTGTATACATGCACTAAATACTATTGCAATTATTAACAGCATTAGGCTTAATGACTCAATGTTGGACAATTGTTCATTTTAAATTATTTTTAAACAGGCTTCAGAGGTCACGTATTCAAAGTCATCTTTTATGACACTTTCAACAGAATATTAGTAAATTGGTTTTATGTCTTAAATCTGTTATCGCATATAAAGTTTTCAACGAGAAATCTAGTACATTCATGTTTGATCATTATGCCACTGATTTGCAGTCCCTAAAAGATATGAGGAAATGAAACCAAGATGTTTTATACTGGTTTAGCAGTTCAAAAATTATTGTTTAGTACTTCTCAGCTAATTGCACCAGCAACTGTAAATATGATGTACAACAGCCAACCAACCAGTGGTAATATCTAGCTCTAAAACATAATGTTGACCTTTTCAACTGCTTCTCTTTCTGCTGTGTAACCTCACAGAGCTGTCTATCAATTTGTTTGTCATTACTTATATTGTCACACCGGTGGAACTCCTTTCTACATTCACATAGGTGGAATGTACCAGCAGGTTAACAGAACAATAGAAGGGAGTATACCACAATATTCTGCAAGGAAAAAAGACAGATTGACAGATGGAATTCTATATTTTGCTTTATGGCTTTGTTTTTCATGAAGGTGTCTCCACATTTCAAAAGAATTTGTCACGTCAGCAACACGTAACTGGCCTTTATACACTTCAAATATAAGACACCCAAATCAGAAGAGTGCTGTGACACGAGGTGGAAAGTTTAAACATCGCTGCCTTTAACTGGATTAAGAGAAAAATTTTATTCCTTTTTTCAAGACAGTATTCAAATAAGATACAAAGGAGGGAATTAAAACCTTTTCATCCTAACCTTGTCTTTTGGTGAGTACATTTTTAATCTGTATTTGAGATTTTGTTCATTAATGCATTTTCATTGTTTTGAATTATTTCCCTATTTTATTGCACATCTTGACATATAATTAAATACTTAAAAGTCTTTTTTAAATATTTGATCGAATTGTAGTATTTCTTTTGGTTGTATTATAAAGCACACTTCATTCACAACACTTTCAGCAAGCAGTAAAAATGGCTCTTAATATGGATATTTTATTTAATATAAACATTTATACAACACTAAGAACCCTATTACTTGAATTAAAAAAATAAAACCTACATTTTCTGTTGCATTTCAAAAAAAAAAAAAGTATGTTATTTTATTAGGGAATTTTAAAAACATGTTTCTGGAAATTTAACATCTAAACAAGGTTTTTTTTTAACATTTAAAACTGTGAATTAATCTTCAGCATCCTTTTCATCACACTGTGGCTTCTGCTTCACCTGGAATACACTTCCATTTTATGTATAAAAGTCTAGATTATATTAAATGTCCACTTATTTTGTAACTGGTGGAAACTACTGATCCTTTCGGGATATTTTAATTTCTAAAATATGCTGGCATGTTTTTTGTATGTTTTTGTGAGATGTCAGGGCAGCTTGCAGCACTTCTTTCCTGATCGGGGTTGAGCGCTTTGCTCAAAAAACCTGGTTGATGGTTGTTGCTTGTGAACATGAGAATGGACTAAAATATATGATTTATTACAGACCCTGATACATCTATAAGCTGTTTAACAGATGCCACAACTATCCAAGCCTGAGTGTACCTTACTTAATGTATGAAGTGTGATTTTACATGCAAATAAATCTCAAGTCATAAGTAACTAAAGACAGAAAAAGATACAAACAGGTTTTCAGAGAGTGATGAAAAGATTTATGTTTTTAGATATAAAAAAAAGTTTAAATTGTCAGGCAATAATATGTGACCTGAGATCCTGTGTTGCCTCCTTTCTTTACTTTTGTCTTTACTGTTCTATTCTCTAACTTGTATGAACTTCATTAAAAATGTTCTGTTTATCAGACAATAAAAATTAGAAATTCAAATTTAGTCATCCATGATGACTTAACCCCCTCTTACTTAAGTTCTAAATGCCATAAAGACACTTTTTGTTTGTTTTTATGTTACCTTTGAAATGTCTAAATATCAACTTGTTGAGAAGTTTATATCTAAAAAAATTCAAAGAGGCTAAGGGACAAATACATGCTAAGTTTTGCAGTACTTTAATGTATTTTAAAGCTTTAATGAGTTCAGTCATTTGGATAATCAAAAGTTTATACCCAAAACATTTGTTTGATCATTTTCTAAATGAAAGTGTCCAAAAGCAAAATACCAATGAATTCACACTTAAATAGTGTCTAGTAGGCCTATTATTTGTTCATCTATCTCCCATTTTGTTATATCATTATTACTTATTTAAGTGATGAATAACTTTGGTACAAACATCATTTTTCTTTGATTCATTTTTTTCCATCGTTTTAGATAGACCTTCAAGATGGCTGTCAGAGGGATCACATCACTTTTTGTGATTCTTGCTGGTAAGAGAACGGCATTTTTTCTAAAGACTTGTCTATTGGGTTGTCTGAGGATGGGACAGTGGAAAGAGAAAAACACAAGGAGGAGGTTGGGGGTGATAGGCGGAGACCATAGATGAACCCATGGCTTCCTGCTTTGTGGTCTGAAAACTCTTTCACAGAGGGCATGGTTTCTAACCACAAATCCATACAAATAATAAAGCTTGGTTGATGAGATTTGAGGCCCTTTTAGTTAGCTGAGTCAAATCAATGAAATGGGTGACATGAAATTAAAAAAAAACTAATTTATTTGATATACTGTTTATCTTTCTTTGAAAAAGCAGTTATGAATAATATCCATGGATTATGTTCAGGGAAAAGGCAAAAAAAAGAGCATGCACAAAAATCGTCATCAAACATTAATATGATGACCTCAGATATTTTGTTTATAATAAGTGAATCACTCTTCAGAAGCACCAGGTTGAAATTTACTTTACCTCTACTGAGGTAAAAAAAATACAAAAAATGACTGCTTGAGACATATCAAATTCAGAAAAAAATGTGACCTCTAATATGAATGATGTAAGGAAAAATTAAACATAGGTTGAATATTGTTAATACTACAATTCTAATTCAAATAATTATTTTTCCTGTTTCACTTTGAAAAAGTCTCCTCAGCAACAACAACAATAATAGCAACATCTATCACAACGAGAAAAACAACAGCTGCCCAACAAACAAGTGCGACTGCCGTAACTACGACAACTTCAACTACAACTACGGGTAAAGCTGGCCAGGCCACAACTCAAGAAAAACCAACCACCATAACAACTGCTGCAACCCACACAAAGGCTACTCCATCCCCCATAAAAGCTGCTCAAGCTACCATTAAAGCTTCTCTAACAACAACTAAAGCTGCCCAAGCTACCACAACAGCTGGCAAAACTACTACTGCTGCTACAACTACAGCTTCTCCAACCACAACTACAGTTAGCCAAACCACAACTACAGCCACCCACACCATAACTACTGCCTCCACCTTAACTACAGCTGCCCCAACCACACCAACAACTGTTTCAATGACTACAAATGCTACACCAGCCGCAACGACAACTGCACCACCCACAACTACAGCTACCCCAGCCACATCAACAACTGTTTCAACAGCTACACCAACCACAACTAAGGCTAGCTCAACCACAATGACAGGTGCACCATCCACTACAAAATCTGCAAAAACCACAACTCAGGCTAGCTCAACCACAGCAACAGCTGCACCAACAATATCATCAAGTGTTTCAACAGCAACTACAGAAGCACCAATCACCACTACAGCTATGCAAACCACAACAAAAGTTGCACAAACCAGAACTACAGCCACACCAACCACAACTACAGCCAGCTCAACCACAACATCAGCTGCAATTACCACCACTTCAGACACACCAGCCGCAACAACAACTGCACCAACCACATCAACAACTATTTCAACTACTACAACAAATGCACCAACAACCACTACAGCTGCACCAACAACTACAAAAGAAGCAAAAACCACAACTGCAGCTGCCTCCACCTTAATTACAGCTGCCCCTACCACACCAACAACTGTTTCAATGACTACAACAGCTACACCAGCCGCAACAACAACTGCACCACCCACAACTCCAGCTGCACCATCAACCTCAAAAGCTGCCACAACCACCACTTCAGCCACACATGCCAGAACAACAGATGCATCAACCACATCAACAACTGTTTCAACCAAAACAACAGCTGCACCAAGCACTACAAAAGAAGCAAAAACTACAATTACAGCTGGCTTCACCTCAACTACAGCTACCCCAGCCACATCAACAACTGTTTCAACAGCTACACCAACCACAACTAAGGCTAGCTCAACCACAATGACAGGTGCACCATCCACTACAAAATCTGCAAAAACCACAACTCAGGCTAGCTCAACCACAGCAACAGCTGCACCAACAATATCATCAAGTGTTTCAACAGCAACTACAGAAGCACCAACCACCACTACAGCTATGCAAACCACAACAAAAGTTGCACAAACCAGAACTACAGCCACACCAACCACAACTACAGCCAGCTCAACCACATCAGCTGCAATTATTACCACTTTAGACACACCAGCCGCAACAACTGCACCAACCGCATCAACAACTATTTCAACTACTACAACAAATGCACCAACAACCACTACAGCTGCACCAACAACTACAAAAGAAGCAAAAACCACAACTGCAGCTGCCTCCACCTTAACTACAGCTGCCCCAACCACACCAACAACTGTTTCAATGACTACAACAGCTACACCAGCCGCAACAACAACTGCACCACCCACAACTACAGCTGCACCATCAACCTCAAAAGCTGCAACAACCACCACTTCAGCCACACATGCCAGAACAACAGATGCATCAACCACATCAACAACTGTTTCAACCAAAACAACAGCTGCACCAAGCACTACAAAAGAAGCAAAAACTACAACTACAGTTGGCTCCACCTCAACTACAGCTACCCCAGCCACATCAACAACTGTTTCAACAGCTACACCAACCACAACTAAGGCTAGCTCAACCACAATGACAGGTGCACCATCCACTACAAAATCTGCAAAAACCACAACTCAGGCTAGCTCAACCACAGCAACAGCTCCACCAACAATATCATCAAGTATATCAACAGCAACTACAGAAGCACCAACCACCACTACAGCTATGCAAACCACAACAAAAGTTGCACAAACCAGAACTACAGCCACACCAACCACAACTACAGCCAGCTCAACCACAACATCAGCTGCAATTACCACCACTTCAGACACACCAGCCGCAACAACAACTGCACCAACCACATCAACAACTATTTCAACTACTACAACAAATGCACCAACAACCACTACAGCTGCACCAACAACTACAAAAGAAGCAAAAACCACAACTGCAGCTGCCTCCACCTTAACTACAGCTGCCCCAACCACACCAACAACTGTTTCAATGACTACAACAGCTACACCAGCCGCAACAACAACTGCACCACCCACAACTACAACTGCACCATCAACCTCAAAAGCTGCCACAACCACCACTTCAGCCACACATGCCAGAACAACAGATGCATCAACCACATCAACAACTGTTTCAACCAAAACAACAGCTGCACCAAGCACTACAAAAGAAGCAAAAACTACAACTACAGCTGGCTCCACCTCAACTACAGCTACCCCAGCCACATCAACAACTGTTTCAACAGCTACACCAACCATAACTAAGGCTAGCTCAACCACAATGACAGGTGCACCATCCACTACAAAATCTGCAAAAACCACAACTCAGGCTAGCTCAACCACAGCAACAGCTGCACCAACAATATCATCAAGTGTTTCAACAGCAACTACAGAAGCACCAACCACCACTACAGCTATGCAAACCACAACAAAAGTTGCACAAACCAGAACTACAGCCACACCAACCACAACTACAGCCACACCAACCACAACATCAGCTGCAATTATCACCACTTCAGACACACCAGCCGCAACAACAACTGCACCAACCACATCAACAACTATTTCAACTACTACAACAAATGCACCAACAACCACTACAGCTGCACCAACAACTACAAAAGAAGCAAAAACCACAACTGCAGCTGCCTCCACCTTAACTACAGCTGCCCCAACCACACCAACAACTGTTTCAATGACTACAACAGCTACACCAGCCGCAACAACAACTGCACCACCCACAACTACAGCTGCACCATCAACTTCAAAAGCTGCCACAACCACCACTTCGGCCACACATGCCAGAACAACAGATGCATCAACCACATCAACAACTGTTTCAACCAAAACAACAGCTGCACCAAGCACTACAAAAGAAGCAAAAACTACAACTACAGCTGGCTCCACCTCAACTACAGCTACCCCAGCCACATCAACAACTGTTTCAACAGCTACACCAACCATAACTAAGGCTAGCTCAACCACAATGACAGGTGCACCATCCACTACAAAATCTGCAAAAACCACAACTCAGGCTAGCTCAACCACAGCAACAGCTGCACCAACAATATCATCAAGTGTTTCAACAGCAACTACAGAAGCACCAACCACCACTACAGCTATGCAAACCACAACAAAAGTTGCACAAACCAGAACTACAGCCACACCAACCACAACTACAGCCAGCTCAACCACAACATCAGCTGCAATTACCACCACTTCAGACACACCAGCCGCAACAACAACTGCACCAACCACATCAACAACTATTTCAACTACTACAACAAATGCACCAACAACCACTACAGCTGCACCAACAACTACAAAAGAAGCAAAAACCACAACTGCAGCTGCCTCCACCTTAACTACAGCTGCCCCAACCACACCAACAACTGTTTCAATGACTACAACTACAGCTACCCCAGCCGCAACAACAACTGCACCACCCACAACTACAGCTGCACCATCAACAACAAAAGCTGCAACAACCACCACTTCAGCCACACATGCCAGAACAACAGATGCATCAACCACATCAACAACTGTTTCAACCAAAACAACAGCTGCACCAAGCAATACAAAAGAAGCAAAAACTACAACTACAGCTGGTTCCACCTCAACTACAGCTACCCCAGCCACATCAACAACTATTTCAACAGCTATACCAACCACAACTAAGGCTAGCTCAACCACAATGACAGGTGCACAATCCACTACAAAATCTGCAAAAACCACAACTCAGGCTAGCTCAACCACAGCAACAGCTGCACCAACAATATCATCAAGTGTTTCAACAGCAACTACAGAAGCACCAACCACCACTACAGCTATGCAAACCACAACAAAAGTTGCACAAACCAGAACTACAGCCACACCAACCACAACTACAGCCAGCTCAACCACAACATCAGCTGCAATTACCACCACTTCAGACACACCAGCCGCAACAACAACTGCACCAACCACATCAACAACTATTTCAACTACTACAACAAATGCACCAACAATCACTACAGCTGCACCAACAACTACAAAAGAAGCAAAAACCACAACTGCAGCTGCCTCCACCTTAACTACAGCTGCCCCAACCATACCAACAACTGTTTCAATGACTCTAACAGCTTCACCAGCCGCAACAACAACTGCACCACCCACAACTACAACTGCACCATCAACCTCAAAAGCTGCCACAACCACCACTTCAGCCACACATGCCAGAACAACAGATGCATCAACCACATCAACAACTGTTTCAACCAAAACAACAGCTGCACCAAGCACTACAAAAGAAGCAAAAACTACAACTACAGCTGGCTCCACCTCAACTACAGCTACCCCAGCCACATCAACAACTGTTTCAACAGCTACACCAACCACAACTAAGGCTAGCTCAACCACAATGACAGGTGCACCATCCACTACAAAATCTGCAAAAACCACAACTCAGGCTAGCTCAACCACAGCAACAGCTGCACCAACAATATCATCAAGTGTTTCAACAGCAACTACAGAAGCACCAACCACCACTACAGCTATGCAAACCACAACAAAAGTTGCACAAACCAGAACTACAGCCACACCAACCACAACTACAGCCAGCTCAACCACAACATCAGCTGCAATTACCACCACTTCAGACACACCAGCCGCAACAACAACTGCACCAACCACATCAACAACTATTTCAACTACTACAACAAATGCACCAACAACCACTACAGCTGCACCAACAACTACAAAAGAAGCAAAAACTACAACTACAGCTGCCTCCACCTTAACTACAGCTGCCCCAACCACACCAACAACTGTTTCAATGACTACAACAGCTACACCAGCCGCAACAACAACTGCACCACCCACAACTACAGCTGCACCATCAACCTCAAAAGCTGCAACAACCACCACTTCAGCCACACATGCCAGAACAACAGATGCATCAACCACATCAACAACTGTTTCAACCAAAACAACAGCTGCACCAAGCACTACAAAAGAAGCAAAAACTACAACTACAGCTGGCTCCACCTCAACTACAGCTACCCCAGCCACATCAACAACTGTTTCAACAGCTACACCAACCACAACTAAGGCTAGCTCAACCACAATGACAGGTGCACCATCCACTACAAAATCTGCAAAAACCACAACTCAGGCTAGCTCAACCACAGCAACAGCTGCACCAACAATATCATCAAGTGTTTCAACAGCAACTACAGAAGCACCAACCACCACTACAGCTATGCAAACCACAACAAAAGTTGCACAAACCAGAACTACAGCCACACCAACCACAACTACAGCCAGCTCAACCACAACATCAGCTGCAATTACCACCACTTCAGACACACCAGCCGCAACAACAACTGCACCAACCACATCAACAACTATTTCAACTACTACAACAAATGCACCAACAACCACTACAGCTGCACCAACAACTACAAAAGAAGCAAAAACCACAACTGCAGCTGCCTCCACCTTAACTACAGCTGCCCCAACCACACCAACAACTGTTTCAATGACTACAACAGCTACACCAGCCGCAACAACAACTGCACCACCCACAACTACAACTGCACCATCAACCTCAAAAGCTGCACAACCACCACTTCAGCCACACATGCCAGAACAACAGATGCATCAACCACATCAACAACTGTTTCAACCAAAACAACAGCTGCACCAAGCACTACAAAAGAAGCAAAAACTACAACTACAGCTGGCTCCACCTCAACTACAGCTACCCCAGCCACATCAACAACTGTTTCAACAGCTACACCAACCACAACTAAGGCTAGCTCAACCACAATGACAGGTGCACCATCCACTACAAAATCTGCAAAAACCACAACTCAGGCTAGCTCAACCACAGCAACAGCTGCACCAACAATATCATCAAGTGTTTCAACAGCAACTACAGAAGCACCAACCACCACTACAGCTATGCAAACCACAACAAAAGTTGCACAAACCAGAACTACAGCCACACCAACCACAACTACAGCCAGCTCAACCACAACATCAGCTGCAATTACCACCACTTCAGACACACCAGCCGCAACAACAACTGCACCAACCACATCAACAACTATTTCAACTACTACAACAAATGCACCAACAACCACTACAGCTGCACCAACAACTACAAAAGAAGCAAAAACCACAACTGCAGCTGCCTCCACCTTAACTACAGCTGCCCCAACCACACCAACAACTGTTTCAATGACTACAACAGCTACACCAGCCGCAACAACAACTGCACCACCCACAACTACAACTGCACCATCAACCTCAAAAGCTGCAACAACCACCACTTCAGCCACACATGCCAGAACAACAGATGCATCAACCACATCAACAACTGTTTCAACCAAAACAACAGCTGCACCAAGCACTACAAAAGAAGCAAAAACTACAACTACAGCTGGCTCCACCTCAACTACAGCTACCCCAGCCACATCAACAACTGTTTCAACAGCTACACCAACCATAACTAAGGCTAGCTCAACCACAATGACAGGTGCACCATCCACTACAAAATCTGCAAAAACCACAACTCAGGCTAGCTCAACCACAGCAACAGCTGCACCAACAATATCATCAAGTGTTTCAACAGCAACTACAGAAGCACCAACCACCACTACAGCTATGCAAACCACAACAAAAGTTGCACAAACCAGAACTACAGCCACACCAACCACAACTACAGCCAGCTCAACCACAACATCAGCTGCAATTACCACCACTTCAGACACACCAGCCGCAACAACAACTGCACCAACCACATCAACAACTATTTCAACTACTACAACAAATGCACCAACAACCACTACAGCTGCACCAACAACTACAAAAGAAGCAAAAACCACAACTGCAGCTGCCTCCACCTTAACTACAGCTGCCCCAACCACACCAACAACTGTTTCAATGACTACAACAGCTACACCAGCCGCAACAACAACTGCACCACCCACAACTACAACTGCACCATCAACCTCAAAAGCTGCCACAACCACCACTTCAGCCACACATGCCAGAACAACAGATGCATCAACCACATCAACAACTGTTTCAACCAAAACAACAGCTGCACCAAGCACTACAAAAGAAGCAAAAACTACAACTACAGCTGGCTCCACCTCAACTACAGCTACCCCAGCCACATCAACAACTGTTTCAACAGCTACACCAACCACAACTAAGGCTAGCTCAACCACAATGACAGGTGCACCATCCACTACAAAATCTGCAAAAACCACAACTCAGGCTAGCTCAACCACAGCAACAGCTGCACCAACAATATCATCAAGTGTTTCAACAGCAACTACAGAAGCACCAACCACCACTACAGCTATGCAAACCACAACAAAAGTTGCACAAACCAGAACTACAGCCACACCAACCACAACTACAGCCAGCTCAACCACAACATCAGCTGCAATTACCACCACTTCAGACACACCAGCCGCAACAACAACTGCACCAACCACATCAACAACTATTTCAACTACTACAACAAATGCACCAACAACCACTACAGCTGCACCAACAACTACAAAAGAAGCAAAAACCACAACTGCAGCTGCCTCCACCTTAACTACAGCTGCCCCAACCACACCAACAACTGTTTCAATGACTACAACAGCTACACCAGCCGCAACAACAACTGCACCACCCACAACTACAGCTGCACCATCAACCTCAAAAGCTGCAACAACCACCACTTCAGCCACACATGCCAGAACAACAGATGCATCAACCACATCAACAACTGTTTCAACCAAAACAACAGCTGCACCAAGCACTACAAAAGAAGCAAAAACTACAACTACAGCTGGCTCCACCTCAACTACAGCTACCCCAGCCACATCAACAACTGTTTCAACAGCTACACCAACCACAACTAAGGCTAGCTCAACCACAATGACAGGTGCACCATCCACTACAAAATCTGCAAAAACCACAACTCAGGCTAGCTCAACCACAGCAACAGCTGCACCAACAATATCATCAAGTGTTTCAACAGCAACTACAGAAGCACCAACCACCACTACAGCTATGCAAACCACAACAAAAGTTGCACAAACCAGAACTACAGCCACACCAACCACAACTACAGCCAGCTCAACCACAACATCAGCTGCAATTACCACCACTTCAGACACACCAGCCGCAACAACAACTGCACCAACCACATCAACAACTATTTCAACTACTACAACAAATGCACCAACAACCACTACAGCTGCACCAACAACTACAAAAGAAGCAAAAACCACAACTGCAGCTGCCTCCACCTTAACTACAGCTGCCCCCACCTTAACTACAGCTGCCCCAACCACACCAACAACTTTTTCAATGACTACAACTACAGCTACCCCAGCCGCAACAACAACTGCACCACCCACAACTACAGCTGCACCATCAACAACAAAAGCTGCAACAACCACCACTTCAGCCACACATGCCAGAACAACAGATGCATCAACCACATCAACAACTGTTTCAACCAAAACAACAGCTGCACCAAGCAATACAAAAGAAGCAAAAACTACAACTACAGCTGGCTCCACCTCAACTACAGCTACCCCAGCCACATCAACAACTGTTTCAACAGCTACACCAACCATAACTAAGGCTAGCTCAACCACAATGACAGGTGCACCATCCACTACAAAATCTGCAAAAACCACAACTCAGGCTAGCTCAACCACAGCAACAGCTGCACCAACAATATCATCAAGTGTTTCAACAGCAACTACAGAAGCACCAACCACCACTACAGCTATGCAAACCACAACAAAAGTTGCACAAACCAGAACTACAGCCACACCAACCACAACTACAGCCAGCTCAACCACAACATCAGCTGCAATTACCACCACTTCAGACACACCAGCCGCAACAACAACTGCACCAACCACATCAACAACTATTTCAACTACTACAACAAATGCACCAACAACCACTACAGCTGCACCAACAACTACAAAAGAAGCAAAAACCACAACTGCAGCTGCCTCCACCTTAACTACAGCTGCCCCAACCACACCAACAACTGTTTCAATGACTACAACTAAGCTACACCAGCCGCAACAACAACTGCACCACCCACAACTACAGCTGCACCATCAACCTCAAAAGCTGCAACAACCACCACTTCAGCCACACATGCCAGAACAACAGATGCATCAACCACATCAACAACTGTTTCAACCAAAACAACAGCTGCACCAAGCACTACAAAAGAAGCAAAAACTACAACTACAGCTGGCTCCACCTCAACTACAGCTACCCCAGCCACATCAACAACTGTTTCAACAGCTACACCAACCACAACTAAGGCTAGCTCAACCACAATGACAGGTGCACCATCCACTACAAAATCTGCAAAAACCACAACTCAGGCTAGCTCAACCACAGCAACAGCTGCACCAACAATATCATCAAGTGTTTCAACAGCAACTACAGAAGCACCAACCACCACTACAGCTATGCAAACCACAACAAAAGTTGCACAAACCAGAACTACAGCCACACCAACCACAACTACAGCCAGCTCAACCACAACATCAGCTGCAATTACCACCACTTCAGACACACCAGCCGCAACAACAACTGCACCAACCACATCAACAACTATTTCAACTACTACAACAAATGCACGAACAACCACTACAGCTGCACCAACAACTACAAAAGAAGCAAAAACCACAACTGCAGCTGCCTCCACCTTAACTACAGCTGCCCCCACCTTAACTACAGCTGCCCCAACCACACCAACAACTTTTTCAATGACTACAACTACAGCTACCCCAGCCGCAACAACAACTGCACCACCCACAACTACAGCTGCACCATCAACAACAAAAGCTGCAACAACCACCACTTCAGCCACACATGCCAGAACAACAGATGCATCAACCACATCAACAACTGTTTCAACCAAAACAACAGCTGCACCAAGCAATACAAAAGAAGCAAAAACTACAACTACAGCTGGCTCCACCTCAACTACAGCTACCCCAGCCACATCAACAACTGTTTCAACAGCTACACCAACCACAACTAAGGCTAGCTCAACCACAATGACAGGTGCACCATCCACTACAAAATCTGCAAAAACCACAACTCAGGCTAGCTCAACCACAGCAACAGCTGCACCAACAATATCATCAAGTGTTTCAACAGCAACTACAGAAGCACCAACCACCACTACAGCTATGCAAACCACAACAAAAGTTGCACAAACCAGAACTACAGCCACACCAACCACAACTACAGCCACACCAACCACAACATCAGCTGCAATTATCACCACTTCAGACACACCAGCCGCAACAACAACTGCACCAACCACATCAACAACTATTTCAACTACTACAACAAATGCACCAACAACCACTACAGCTGCACCAACAACTACAAAAGAAGCAAAAACCACAACTGCAGCTGCCTCAACCTTAACTACAGCTGCCCCAACCACACCAACAACTGTTTCAATGACTACAACAGCTACACCAGCCGCAACAACAACTGCACCACCCACAACTACAACTGCACCATCAACTTCAAAAGCTGCCACAACCACCACTTCGGCCACACATGCCAGAACAACAGATGCATCAACCACATCAACAACTGTTTCAACCAAAACAACAGCTGCACCGAGCACTACAAAAGAAGCAAAAACTACAACTACAGCTGGCTCCACCTCAACTACAGCTACCCCAGCCACATCAACAACTGTTTCAACAGCTACACCAACCATAACTAAGGCTAGCTCAACCACAATGACAGGTGCACCATCCACTACAAAATCTGCAAAAACCACAACTCAGGCTAGCTCAACCACAGCAACAGCTGCACCAACAATATCATCAAGTGTTTCAACAGCAACTACAGAAGCACCAACCACCACTACAGCTATGCAAACCACAACAAAAGTTGCACAAACCAGAACTACAGCCACACCAACCACAACTACAGCCAGCTCAACCACAACATCAGCTGCAATTACCACCACTTCAGACACACCAGCCGCAACAACAACTGCACCAACCACATCAACAACTATTTCAACTACTACAACAAATGCACCAACAACCACGACAGCTGCACCAACAACTACAAAAGAAGCAAAAACCACAACTGCAGCTGCCTCCACCTTAACTACAGCTGCCCCAACCACACCAACAACTGTTTCAATGACTACAACTACAGCTACCCCAGCCGCAACAACAACTGCACCACCCACAACTACAGCTGCACCATCAACAACAAAAGCTGCAACAACCACCACTTCAGCCACACATGCCAGAACAACAGATGCATCAACCACATCAACAACTGTTTCAACCAAAACAACAGCTGCACCAAGCAATACAAAAGAAGCAAAAACTACAACTACAGCTGGTTCCACCTCAACTACAGCTACCCCAGCCACATCAACAACTGTTTCAACAGCTATACCAACCACAACTAAGGCTAGCTCAACCACAATGACAGGTGCACAATCCACTACAAAATCTGCAAAAACCACAACTCAGGCTAGCTCAACCACAGCAACAGCTGCACCAACAATATCATCAAGTGTTTCAACAGCAACTACAGAAGCACCAACCACCACTACAGCTATGCAAACCACAACAAAAGTTGCACAAACCAGAACTACAGCCACACCAACCACAACTACAGCCAGCTCAACCACAACATCAGCTGCAATTACCACCACTTCAGACACACCAGCCGCAACAACAACTGCACCAACCACATCAACAACTATTTCAACTACTACAACAAATGCACCAACAATCACTACAGCTGCACCAACAACTACAAAAGAAGCAAAAACCACAACTGCAGCTGCCTCCACCTTAACTACAGCTGCCCCAACCATACCAACAACTGTTTCAATGACTCTAACAGCTTCACCAGCCGCAACAACAACTGCACCACCCACAACTACAACTGCACCATCAACCTCAAAAGCTGCCACAACCACCACTTCAGCCACACATGCCAGAACAACAGATGCATCAACCACATCAACAACTGTTTCAACCAAAACAACAGCTGCACCAAGCACTACAAAAGAAGCAAAAACTACAACTACAGCTGGCTCCACCTCAACTACAGCTACCCCAGCCACATCAACAACTGTTTCAACAGCTACACCAACCATAACTAAGGCTAGCTCAACCACAATGACAGGTGCACCATCCACTACAAAATCTGCAAAAACCACAACTCAGGCTAGCTCAACCACAGCAACAGCTGCACCAACAATATCATCAAGTGTTTCAACAGCAACTACAGAAGCACCAACCACCACTACAGCTATGCAAACCACAACAAAAGTTGCACAAACCAGAACTACAGCCACACCAACCACAACTACAGCCAGCTCAACCACAACATCAGCTGCAATTACCACCACTTCAGACACACCAGCCGCAACAACAACTGCACCAACCACATCAACAACTATTTCAACTACTACAACAAATGCACCAACAACCACTACAGCTGCACCAACAACTACAAAAGAAGCAAAAACCACAACTGCAGCTGCCTCCACCTTAACTACAGCTGCCCCAACCACACCAACAACTGTTTCAATGACTACAACTACAGCTACCCCAGCCGCAACAACAACTGCACCACCCACAACTACAACTGCACCATCAACAACAAAAGCTGCAACAACCACCACTTCAGCCACACATGCCAGAACAACAGATGCATCAACCACATCAACAACTGTTTCAACCAAAACAACAGCTGCACCAAGCACTACAAAAGAAGCAAAAACTACAACTACAGCTGGCTCCACCTCAACTACAGCTACCCCAGCCACATCAACAACTGTTTCAACAGCTACACCAACCATAACTAAGGCTAGCTCAACCACAATGACAGGTGCACCATCCACTACAAAATCTGCAAAAACCACAACTCAGGCTAGCTCAACCACAGCAACAGCTGCACCAACAATATCATCAAGTGTTTCAACAGCAACTACAGAAGCACCAACCACCACTACAGCTATGCAAACCACAACAAAAGTTGCACAAACCAGAACTACAGCCACACCAACCACAACTACAGCCAGCTCAACCACAACATCAGCTGCAATTACCACCACTTCAGACACACCAGCCGCAACAACAACTGCACCAACCACATCAACAACAATTTCAACTACTACAACAAATGCACCAACAACCACTACAGCTGCACCAACAACTACAAAAGAAGCAAAAACCACAACTGCAGCTGCCTCCACCTTAACTACAGCTGCCCCAACCACACCAACAACTGTTTCAATGACTACAACAGCTACACCAGCCGCAACAACAACTGCACCACCCACAACTACAACTGCACCATCAACCTCAAAAGCTGCCACAACCACCACTTCAGCCACACATGCCAGAACAACAGATGCATCAACCACATCAACAACTGTTTCAACCAAAACAACAGCTGCACCAAGCACTACAAAAGAAGCAAAAACTACAACTACAGCTGGCTCCACCTCAACTACAGCTACCCCAGCCACATCAACAACTGTTTCAACAGCTACACCAACCACAACTAAGGCTAGCTCAACCACAATGACAGGTGCACCATCCACTACAAAATCTGCAAAAACCACAACTCAGGCTAGCTCAACCACAGCAACAGCTGCACCAACAATATCATCAAGTGTTTCAACAGCAACTACAGAAGCACCAACCACCACTACAGCTATGCAAACCACAACAAAAGTTGCACAAACCAGAACTACAGCCACACCAACCACAACTACAGCCAGCTCAACCACAACATCAGCTGCAATTACCACCACTTCAGACACACCAGCCGCAACAACAACTGCACCAACCACATCAACAACTATTTCAACTACTACAACAAATGCACCAACAACCACTACAGCTGCACCAACAACTACAAAAGAAGCAAAAACCACAACTGCAGCTGCCTCCACCTTAACTACAGCTGCCCCAACCACACCAACAACTGTTTCAATGACTACAACTACAGCTACCCCAGCCGCAACAACAACTGCACCACCCACAACTACAGCTGCACCATCAACAACAAAAGCTGCAACAACCACCACTTCAGCCACACATGCCAGAACAACAGATGCATCAACCACATCAACAACTGTTTCAACCAAAACAACAGCTGCACCAAGCACTACAAAAGAAGCAAAAACTACAACTACAGCTGGCTCCACCTCAACTACAGCTACCCCAGCCACATCAACAACTGTTTCAACAGCTACACCAACCATAACTAAGGCTAGCTCAACCACAATGACAGGTGCACCATCCACTACAAAATCTGCAAAAACCACAACTCAGGCTAGCTCAACCACAGCAACAGCTGCACCAACAATATCATCAAGTGTTTCAACAGCAACTACAGAAGCACCAACCACCACTACAGCTATGCAAACCACAACAAAAGTTGCACAAACCAGAACTACAGCCACACCAACCACAACTACAGCCAGCTCAACCACAACATCAGCTGCAATTACCACCACTTCAGACACACCAGCCGCAACAACAACTGCACCAACCACATCAACAACTATTTCAACTACTACAACAAATGCACCAACAACCACTACAGCTGCACCAACAACTACAAAAGAAGCAAAAACCACAACTGCAGCTGCCTCCACCTTAACTACAGCTGCCCCCACCTTAACTACAGCTGCCCCAACCACACCAACAACTGTTTCAATGACTACAACAGCTACACCAGCCGCAACAACAACTGCACCACCCACAACTACAGCTGCACCATCAACCTCAAAAGCTGCAACAACCACCACTTCAGCCACACATGCCAGAACAACAGATGCATCAACCACATCAACAACTGTTTCAACCAAAACAACAGCTGCACCAAGCACTACAAAAGAAGCAAAAACTACAACTACAGCTGGCTCCACCTCAACTACAGCTACCCCAGCCACATCAACAACTGTTTCAACAGCTACACCAACCACAACTAAGGCTAGCTCAACCACAATGACAGGTGCACCATCCACTACAAAATCTGCAAAAACCACAACTCAGGCTAGCTCAACCACAGCAACAGCTGCACCAACAATATCATCAAGTGTTTCAACAGCAACTACAGAAGCACCAACCACCACTACAGCTATGCAAACCACAACAAAAGTTGCACAAACCAGAACTACAGCCACACCAACCACAACTACAGCCAGCTCAACCACAACATCAGCTGCAATTACCACCACTTCAGACACACCAGCCGCAACAACAACTGCACCAACCACATCAACAACTATTTCAACTACTACAACAAATGCACCAACAACCACTACAGCTGCACCAACAACTACAAAAGAAGCAAAAACCACAACTGCAGCTGCCTCCACCTTAACTACAGCTGCCCCCACCTTAACTACAGCTGCCCCAACCACACCAACAACTTTTTCAATGACTACAACTACAGCTACCCCAGCCGCAACAACAACTGCACCACCCACAACTACAGCTGCACCATCAACAACAAAAGCTGCAACAACCACCACTTCAGCCACACATGCCAGAACAACAGATGCATCAACCACATCAACAACTGTTTCAACCAAAACAACAGCTGCACCAAGCAATACAAAAGAAGCAAAAACTACAACTACAGCTGGCTCCACCTCAACTACAGCTACCCCAGCCACATCAACAACTATTTCAACAGCTATACCAACCACAACTAAGGCTAGCTCAACCACAATGACAGGTGCACAATCCACTACAAAATCTGCAAAAACCACAACTCAGGCTAGCTCAACCACAGCAACAGCTGCACCAACAATATCATCAAGTGTTTCAACAGCAACTACAGAAGCACCAACCACCACTACAGCTATGCAAACCACAACAAAAGTTGCACAAACCAGAACTACAGCCACACCAACCACAACTACAGCCAGCTCAACCACAACATCAGCTGCAATTACCACCACTTCAGACACACCAGCCGCAACAACAACTGCACCAACCACATCAACAACTATTTCAACTACTACAACAAATGCACCAACAACCACTACAGCTGCACCAACAACTACAAAAGAAGCAAAAACCACAACTGCAGCTGCCTCCACCTTAACTACAGCTGCCCCAACCACACCAACAACTGTTTCAATGACTACAACTACAGCTACCCCAGCCGCAACAACAACTGCACCACCCACAACTACAACTGCACCATCAACAACAAAAGCTGCAACAACCACCACTTCAGCCACACATGCCAGAACAACAGATGCATCAACCACATCAACAACTGTTTCAACCAAAACAACAGCTGCACCAAGCAATACAAAAGAAGCAAAAACTACAACTACAGCTGGTTCCACCTCAACTACAGCTACCCCAGCCACATCAACAACTATTTCAACAGCTACACCAACCACAACTAAGGCTAGCTCTACCACAATGACAGGTGCACCATCCACTACAAAATCTGCAAAAACCACAACTCAGGCTAGCTCAACCACAGCAACAGCTGCACCAACAATATCATCAAGTGTTTCAACAGCAACTACAGAAGCACCAACCACCACTACAGCTATGCAAACCACAACAAAAGTTGCACAAACCAGAACTACAGCCACACCAACCACAACTACAGCCAGCTCAACCACAACATCAGCTGCAATTACCACCACTTCAGACACACCAGCCGCAACAACAACTGCACCAACCACATCAACAACAATTTCAACTACTACAAGAAATGCACCAACAATCACTACAGCTGCACCAACAACTACAAAAGAAGCAAAAACCACAACTGCAGCTGCCTCCACCTTAACTACAGCTGCCCCAACCATACCAACAACTGTTTCAATGACTACAACAGCTTCACCAGCCGCAACAACAACTGCACCATCCACAACTACAACTGCACCATCAACCTCAAAAGCTGCCACAACCACCACTTCAGCCACACATGCCAGAACAACAGATGCATCAACCACATCAACAACTGTTTCAACCAAAACAACAGCTGCACCAAGCAATACAAAAGAAGCAAAAACTACAACTACAGCTGGCTCCACCTCAACTACAGCTACCCCAGCCACATCAACAACTATTTCAACAGCTACACCAACCACAACTAAGGCTACCTCTACCACAATGACAGGTGCACCATCCACTACAAAATCTGCAAAAACCACAACTCAGGCTAGCTCAACCACAGCAACAGCTGCACCAACAATATCATCAAGTGTTTCAACAGCAACTACAGAAGCACCAACCACCACTACAGCTATGCAAACCACAACAAAAGTTGCACAAACCAGAACTACAGCCACACCAACCACAACTACAGCCAGCTCAACCACAACATCAGCTGCAATTACCACCACTTCAGACACACCAGCCGCAACAACAACTGCACCAACCACATCAACAACTATTTCAACTACTACAACAAATGCACCAACAACCACTACAGCTGCACCAACAACTACAAAAGAAGCAAAAACCACAACTGCAGCTGCCTCCACCTTAACTACAGCTGCCCCAACCACACCAACAACTGTTTCAATGACTACAACTACAGCTACCCCAGCCGCAACAACAACTGCACCACCCACAACTACAGCTGCACCATCAACAACAAAAGGTGCAACAACCACCACCTCAGCCACACATGCCAGAACAACAGATGCATCAACCACATCAACAACTGTTTCAACCAAAACAACAGCTGCACCAAGCAATACAAAAGAAGCAAAAACTACAACTACAGCTGGTTCCACCTCAACTACAGCTACCCCAGCCACATCAACAACTATTTCAACAGCTACACCAACCACAACTAAGGCTAGCTCAACCACAATGACAGGTGCACCATCCACTACAAAATCTGCAAAAACCACAACTCAGGCTAGCTCAACCACAGCAACAGCTGCACCAACAATATCATCAAGTGTTTCAACAGCAACTACAGAAGCACCAACCACCACTACAGCTATGCAAACCACAACAAAAGTTGCACAAACCAAAACTACAGCGACACCAACCACAACTAAAGCCAGCTCAACCACAACATCAGCTGCAATTACCACCACTTCAGACACACCAGCCGCAACAACAACTGCACCAACCACATCAACAACTATTTCAACTACTACAACAAATGCACCAACAACCACGACAGCTGCACCAACAACTACAAAAGAAGCAAAAACCACAACTGCAGCTGCCTCCACCTTAACTACAGCTGCCCCAACCACACCAACAACTGTTTCAATGACTACAACTACAGCTACCCCAGCCGCAACAACAACTGCACCACCCACAACTACAGCTGCACCATCAACAACAAAAGCTGCAACAACCACCACTTCAGCCACACATGCCAGAACAACAGATGCATCAACCACATCAACAACTGTTTCAACCAAAACAACAGCTGCACCAAGCACTACAAAAGAAGCAAAAACTACAACTACAGCTGGCTCCACCTCAACTACAGCTACCCCAGCCACATCAACAACTGTTTCAAAAGCTACACCAACCACAACTCAGGCTAGCTTAACCACAGCAACCGCTGCACCAACAATATCATCAAGTGTTTCAACAGCAACTACAGAAGCACCAACCACCACTACAGTGATGCAAACCACAACAAAAGTTGCACAAACCAGAACTACAGCCACACCTACCACAACTACAGCCATCTCAACCACAACATCAGCTGCAATTACCACCACTTCAGACACACCAGCCGCAACAACAACTGCACCAACCACATCAACAACTATTTCAACTACTACAACAAATGCACCAACAACCACTACAGCTGCACCAACAACTACAAAAGAAGAAAAAACGACAACTGCAGCTGCCTTCACCTTAACTACAGCAGCCCCAACCACACCAACAACTGTTTCAATGACTACAACAGCTACACCAGCCGCAACAACAACTGCACCACCCACAACTACAGCTGCACCATCAACAACAAAAGCTACAACAACCACCACTTCAGCCACACATGCCAGAACAACAGATGCATCAACCACATCAACAACTGTTTCAACCAAAACAACAGCTGCACCAAGCACTACAAAAGAAGCAAAAACTACAACTACAGCTGGCTCCACCTCAACTACAGCTACCCCAGCCACATCAACAACTGTTTCAACAGCTACACCAACCACAACTAAGGCTAGCTCAACCACAGCAACCGCTGCACCAACAATATCATCAAGTGTTTCAACAGCAACTACAGAAGCACCAACCTCCACTACAGCTATGCAAACCACAACAAAAGTTGCACAAACCAGAACTACAGCCACACCAACCACAACTACAGCCAGCTCAACCACAACATCAGCTGCAATTACCACCACTTCAGACACACCAGCCGCAACAACAACTGCACCACCCACAACTACAGCTGCACAATCAACAACAAAAGCTGCAAAAACCACCACTTCAGCCACACATGCCAGTACAACAGATGCATCAACCACATCAACAACTGTTTCAACCAAAACAACAGCTGCACCAAGCACTACAAAAGAAGCAAAAACTACAACGACAGCTGGCTCCACCTCAACTACAGCTACCCCAGCCACATCAACAACTGTTTCAAAAGCTACACCAACCACAACTCAGGCTAGCTCAACCACAGCAACCGCTGCACCAACAATATCATCAAGTGTTTCAACAGCAACTACAGAAGCACCAACCTCCACAACAGCTATGCAAACCACAAAAAAAGTTGCACAAACCAGAACTACAGCCACACCAACCACAACTAAAGCCAGCTCAACCACAACATCAGCTGCAATTACCACCACTTCAGACACACCAGCCGCAATAGCAACTGCACCAACCACATCAACAACAATTTCAACTACTACAACAAATGCACCAACAACCACTACAGCTGCACCAACAACTACAAAAGAAGCAAAAACCACAGCTGCAGCTGCCTCCACCTTAACTACAGCTGCCCCAACCACACCAACAACTGTTTCAATGACTACAACAGCTACACCAGCCGCAACAACAACTGCACCACCCACAACCACAGCTGCACGATCAACAACAAAAGCTGCAAAAACCACCACTTCAGCCACACATGCCAGTACAACAGATGCATCAACCACATCAACAACTGTTTCAACCAAAACAACAGCTGCACCAAGCACTACAAAAGAAGCAAAAACTACAACTACAGCTGGCTCCACCTCAACTACAGCTACCCCAGCCACATCAACAACTGTTTCAACAGCTACACCAACCACAACTCAGGCTAGCTCAACCACAGCAACCGCTGCACTAACAATATCATCAAGTGTTTCAACAGCAACTACAGAAGCACCAACCTCCACTACAGCTATGCAAACCACAAAAAAAGTTGCACAAACCAGAACTACAGCCACACCAACCACAACTAAAGCCAGCTCAACCACAACATCAGCTGCAATTACCACCACTTCAGACACACCAACCACATCAACAACTATTTCAACTACTACAACAAATGCACCAACAACCACTACAGCTGCACCAACAAGTACAAAAGAAGCAAAAACCACAACTGCAGCTGCCTCCACCTTAACTACAGCTGCCCCAACCACACCAACAACTGTTTCAATGACTACAACAGCTACACCAGCCGCAACAACAACTGCACCACCCACAACTACAACTGCACCATCAACAACAAAAGCTGCAACAACCACCACTTCAGCCACACATGCCAGAACAACAGATGCATCAACCACATCAACAACTGTTTCAACCAAAACAACAGCTGCACCAAGCACTACAAAAGAAGCAAAAACTACAACTACAGCTGGCTCCACCTCAACTACATCTACCCCAGCCACATCAACAACTGTTTCAACAGCTACACCAACCACAACTAAGGCTAGCTCAACCACAGCAACAGCTGAACCAACAATATCATCAAGTGTTTCAACAGCAACTACAGAAGCACCAACCTCCACTACATCTATGCAAACCACAACAAAAGTTGCACAAACCAGAACTACAGCCACACCAACCACAACTACAGCCATCTCAACCAAAACATCAGCTGCAATTACCACCACTTCAGACACACCAGCCGCAACAACAACTGCACCACCCACAACCACAGCTGCACGATCAACAACAAAAGCTGCAAAAACCACCACTTCAGCCACACATGCCAGTACAACAGATGCATCAACCACATCAACAACTGTTTCAACCAAAACAACAGCTGCACCAAGCACTACAAAAGAAGCAAAAACTACAATGACAGCTGGCTCCACCTCAACTACAGCTACCCCAGCCACATCAACAACTGTTTCAAAAGCTACACCAACCACAACTCAGGCTAGCTTAACCACAGCAACAGCTGCACCAACAATATCATCAAGTGTTTCAACAGCAACAACAGAAGCACCAACCACCACTACAGCTATGCAAACCACAACAAAAGTTGCACAAACCAGAACTACAGCCACACCAACCACAACTACAGCCAGCTCAACCACAACATCAGCTGCAATTACCACCACTTCAGACACACCAGCCGCAACAACAACTGCACCAACCACATCAACAACTATTTCAACTACTACAACAAATGCACCAACAACCACTACAGCTGCACCAACAACTACAAAAGAAGCAAAAACCACAACTGCAGCTGCCTCCACCTTTACTTCAGCTGCCCCAACCACACCAACAACTTTTTCAATGACTACAACAGCTACACCAGCCGCAACAACAACTGCACCACCCACAACTACAGCTGCACCATCAACCTCAAAAGCTGCAACAACCACCACTTCAGCCACACATGCCAGAACAACAGATGCATCAACCACATCAACAACTGTTTCAACCAAAACAACAGCTGCACCAAGCACTACAAAAGAAGCAAAAACTACAACTACAGCTGGCTCCACCTCAACTACAGCTACCCCAGCCACATCAACAACTGTTTCAACAGCTACACCAACCACAACTAAGGCTAGCTCAACCACAATGACAGGTGCACCATCCACTACAAAATCTGCAAAAACCACAACTCAGGCTAGCTCAACCACAGCAACAGCTGAACCAACAATATCATCAAGTGTTTCAACAGCAACTACAGAAGCACCAACCTCCACTACAGCTATGCAAACCACAACAAAAGTTGCACAAACCAGAACTACAGCCACACCAACCACAACTACAGCCATCTCAACCACAACATCAGCTGCAATTACCACCACTTCAGACACACCAGCCGCAACAACAACTGCACCACCCACAACCACAGCTGCACGATCAACAACAAAAGCTGCAAAAACCACCACTTCAGCCACACATGCCAGTACAACAGATGCATCAACCACATCAACAACTGTTTCAACCAAAACAACAGCTGCACCAAGCACTACAAAAGAAGCAAAAACTACAACGACAGCTGGCTCCACCTCAACTACAGCTACCCCAGCCACATCAACAACTGTTTCAAAAGCTACACCAACCACAACTCAGGCTAGCTTAACCACAGCAACAGCTGCACCAACAATATCATCAAGTGTTTCAACAGCAACTACAGAAGCACCAACCACCACTACAGCTATGCAAACCACAACAAAAGTTGCACAAACCAGAACTACAGCCACACCAACCACAACTACAGCCAGCTCAACCACAACATCAGCTGCAATTACCACCACTTCAGACACACCAGCCGCAACAACAACTGCACCAACCACATCAACAACTATTTCAACTACTACAACAAATGCACCAACAACCACTACAGCTGCACCAACAAGTACAAAAGAAGCAAAAACCACAACTGCAGCTGCCTCCACCTTTACTTCAGCTGCCCCAACCACACCAACAACTTTTTCAATGACTACAACAGCTACACCAGCCGCAACAACAACTGCACCACCCACAACTACAGCTGCACCATCAACCTCAAAAGCTGCAACAACCACCACTTCAGCCACACATGCCAGAACAACAGATGCATCAACCACATCAACAACTGTTTCAACCAAAACAACAGCTGCACCAAGCACTACAAAAGAAGCAAAAACTACAACTACAGCTGGCTCCACCTCAACTACAGCTACCCCAGCCACATCAACAACTGTTTCAACAGCTACACCAACCACAACTAAGGCTAGCTCAACCACAATGACAGGTGCACCATCCACTACAAAATCTGCAAAAACCACAACTCAGGCTAGCTCAACCACAGCAACAGCTGCACCAACAATATCATCAAGTGTTTCAACAGCAACTACAGAAGCACCAACCACCACTACAGCTATGCAAACCACAACAAAAGTTGCACAAACCAGAACTACAGCCACACCAACCACAACTACAGCCAGCTCAACCACAACATCAGCTGCAATTACCACCACTTCAGACACACCAGCCGCAACAACAACTGCACCAACCACATCAACAACTATTTCAACTACTACAACAAATGCACCAACAACAACTACAGCTGCACCAACAACTACAAAAGAAGCAAAAACCACAACTGCAGCTGCATCCAACTTAACTACAGCTGCCCCAACCACACCAACAACTGTTTCAATGACTACAACAGCTACACCAGCCGCAAAAACAACTGCACCACCCACAACTACAGCTGCACCATCAACCTCAAAAGCTGCAATTACCACCACTTCAGACACACCAGCCGCAACAACAACTGCATCAACCACATCAACAACTGTTTCAACCAAAACAACAGCTGCACCAAGCACTACAAAAGAAGCAAAAACCACAACTACAGCTGCATCCACCTTAACTACAGCTGCCCCAACCACACCAACAACTGTTTCAATGACAACAACAGCTGCACCACCCACAACTACAGCTGCACCATCAACAACAAAAGCTGCAACAACCACCACGTCAGCCACACCTGCAACAACAACAGATGCACCAAACACATCAACAACTGTTTCAACCAAAACAACAGCTGCACCAACAACTACAAAAGAAGCAAAAACTACAACTACAGCTGGCTCCACCTTAACTACAGCTACCCCAGCCACATCAACAACTGTTTCAACAACAGCAACAGCTACACCAACCACAATTAAGGCTAGTTCAACCACAATGACAGGTGCACCATCCACTACAAAATCTGCAAAAACCACAACTCAGGCCAGCTCAACCACAGCAACAGCTTCACCATCAATATCATCAAGTATTTCAACAGCAACTACAGAAGCACCAACCACCACTACAGCTATGCAAACCACAACTACAGCTGCCTCCACCGCAACTACATTTAGCTTGAAAGCAACAACAGATGCACCAACAACACCAGTAACTGTTTCAACGACTACAACAGCTACACCAACCACAACTACAGCTGCACCAACCACATCAACAACTGTTTCAACCTCTACAACAGCTATAAAAACCACAACTAAAGCTGCACCAACCATAACTACTGCTAGATCAATTACAATAGCTGCACCAACCGCAATATCCACAACAACAGCAACATTAACCACAACAACAGCTGTTTCAGTGACTACAACATCTACACCACCCCAAACGATAGGTGCACTAACGACTACAAAAGCTGCAAAAACCACAACGAAGGCTAGCTCAACCACAACTACAGCTGCACCAACCGCATCAACAACTGTTTTAATGACAACTACAGATGCACCAACCACCAGTACAGCTGCCTCCACCACAACTACAGTAAGCTTGAAAGCAACAGCTGCAACAGAGACATCAACAACTTTTTCAACGATACCAATTGCAACAACAACCAAAACATCAGCTGCACAAACCACATCAACAACTGTTTCAAATTCTACAACAGCTATACCAACCACAACTACAGTTCGTTTGAAAGCAACAACAGATGCACCAACTACACCAGCAAATGTTTCAACGACTACAAAAGCTACACCAACCACAACTACAGCTGCACCAACCACATCAACAACTGTTTCAACTACTACAACAGATGCACCAACAACCTCTACAGGTGCACCAACAACAACAGCTGCCCTAACTACAATGACAGTAGCTCCAACCACTATCACAGCTGCTCTTAACACCACGACTGCCCCAACCACAGCTGCTCTTTTTACAGCTGCCAAAACGACAACTACAGCTTCCCCAACCACCACTACAGCTTCCCTCACCACCACTACAGCTGCTTCAACAACTAAAGCTACTCCAACCACAACAGTAGCCAAAACAGCAACAGCTGCTCCAACAACTTCATTACCAACCACCTCTGCTGTCCCTACCTATTTAGTTCAAGCACAGTTGTTTAATGAAACCTTTACTCTTCAACTTCAGAACCCCCAGAGCTCTCAATTTCAAGCACTTGAAATCCGAGTCGTCTCATCAGTAAGTTGTTTGGGAATTATTTCAAAATTTATAATGCGTCTGTCTCATTTAAAACCAATAATAGCAATAGTTAAACAAGGTTATCTTAAATTTCATTAGTTTCTTTTGAAAAGTTTTAACTAATTGGAAATTCATCTTCAGAATAGTGTTCCATACCATATTTCAATGTTCATTCACCATGCTGTCTTCTTTTTCCCTTATTTTACAACAGTGTGAGGAAATCTATAGAGCAGAATTTGGCAATATATTTCTTAAGTGTGAAGTGAAGCGTTTCAGGTAAATACCTTCAATCTTGTTAACAAACTTTTGATATTAGATCTGTCTTTTTTCATTGTTGTCTTATAAAGCCACTTACATTGTTGACTTGTGTTTTACAAAACATTAAATATGCATGTTTTTTCACCAATTTTTTTCTATACAGTTTTGTGGCAACACGAACTAAAATACTTGGAGTGGTTCTGGCGGTTCTCTTCAAGCCGAGCACCCCGTCTAATGAACTCCCACTAAATAAAGTTGTTGCTGAGACCTTGAGTGCTGCTGCAAGTGACCCTAGCAATTCCTTCCTTGTGTCCTTTAATCCCATTACAGTTTCAACTCTAGGTGAGTGAAGAAAACAAAAATTTACATGACGGTATTCTTTATAAGTCTTAAATTCACCACTCTTTTTGACTTTAATCAACTGAAAAAAAGAAATGTTTTTGGTTTGTGTACAGATCATAATTAAATTATTTTTTTGTCTAAATTTTATAACTAGAGGGTCCAAAACCTGGTGGAACTACAACTTCAGCATCTGCCACCAATGCACCTGCAGCTACAACTGCTGCATCTGCCACCAATATGCCTGCAGCGCCAACTGCTGCATCTGCTGCCAATGCAACTGCAGCTACAACTGCTGCATCTGCAAGCAGAGTAAGTCACGAGATCAGTCTCATCACTGCATTCTGCATGGTGCTGTTGTCATGGCTTCTGTAGAACCAGCAGTAGCATCAGCGCTGATCACTGTGTGAATTTTGGTGACAACTTATCTTAAGTTTCCAGTTAAAGACATATCTCTGTATGGGAGGGGCCCAGATCTTGGGCTGGACAGAATGGCACTGCTGTCTCTAAATATCACTTCCATGAAAGAATTATTGGCATAGATAAGTGACAATGCTTTTTCTGGGATGTCAGCGTTTAACTAAACTTTTTATGAACAACTGCATCTTGACGTACTAAACGCTGCAACATTTGAACAAGTGACAGTCACCAGTCCTGTCTGAGACTTTTTTTGCTGAGCAATTTAAACCCCCCTACGGTGAATCATAAAACTGTAAAACCATTTTCATCATTCTTTAACTGCAGTAGCCTTGTTATATTGATTTTGTGAAAAATTACAAACCAGACTTTTAGAGATGCAATGTTCTTTCAATTAAAGAGGGGCATTCTTTACTTTGTTCAAGCAAAAACATATTGTTTTTTTACAAATCACTTATGCTAATTTAAGCCTTTTAACAGTCGCCTAGCAAACAGAAGCTTATAGTTTGCTCTTGAATACTATTTCATGATGGGATGGACTTTCTCAAATTGTATAAAATATGCTGCACACTGTCCTTATGTTAATGTGTTCAGTATTTTCAAGAGATTTGTATGCAAAGAGAACAATGCACTTTTAATGTCTTATTTATACATACTGTATTAATGTTATCCTACAGAGTTGTTTTCTGTGAGACTTTTTGTTGTTTGCACTATGCCTGCTGGAAACTTTTCAATGACCAGAATACAACATATGAAGAACTACAACTGTCTTTTGTGTGATGTTTCCTGATTTTGGTCCGTAAAAACAGGAGTATTTGAGGGTATGTAGAAGGTCAGAATCTTAAATTTGTACAGGTGACACAAACTTTCATACAGTGCCGAGGATTTTACAAACTTAATTTTTAAAAGATCGGTCTGGCACAGGTATTATGTCAGTGAAAATGGTTAGGAAGTAGCGCTTAGTTTACTCTGTCACTCTGTTTATTCTGAGATTTTGTCTATTCAGTACCAACACAGTCTGAGAGATAAGTATCTGAAAATCCAACTTCTACCTTGTGTGCACCAGCATGTACCAGAGTGTAGTTTCAGTCATTACTCTCACCATCCATCCATCCATCCATCCATCTTCAACCGCTTATCCGGGGTCGGGGCGTGGGGGCAGCAGCCTGAGTAGAGAAGCCCAGACTTCCCTCTCCCCAGCCACTTCGCCCAGCTCTTCAGAGAGAGAGAGAGAGAGGGTCGTGGGCTGGGGTGAGGTTAGGAATGATGCGCTGGTAAAAAGACAGGACAAAAAAGGGTCAGTCACAAAAATTACAAGCACCAAAAATCTTAAACTTGCCAAGAAATCACTGATGAGCTCAGAAGATGGCCCTAGTACCACCTGGAAACAGTACTCTGGCACTGAGTCTTCAGTCTGCAGCAGTCATAAGGCCAGCTGGTTGTTGAGCAGCAACAGGTGAGAGCAATCAGCCTCAGCACCTTGAAGCAGCCTCTGGAAGATAGGTGAAGGTGACAGAAACCCACCCACACAGGAAACAGAATCCGTCCAAATCAAATGTGCAAAATCAATGCTCACCTCAAACACATCTTCATTTCCTGGTTAAAAACTTATCTCAGGCACTGCCTTATCTAAATATTCCATCTAAGAATGTAATAGTTGGCTCTGCATCCTGACCTTTTGTCAATGTATTCAGTATAAAACAATGCACTTTTAATTACTTATTTATGCAAACATCACATTTTGTTTATCTAGAAAGTTCTCGTATAGACTAATCTAAAAATTTTAACTGGGAGAAGTTAGCATATATTTAAAAAACAATCAAATTAAATTTAGTACTCAAGAGACTTAACTAGTATATTTTTGGGAAAAGTAACCAACTTTATATCAATCCTAAAAGCAACAAGTGTCAAATGTTTCATATGAAGTTAAAAAGTGTAGGTCTTATGAATTTTTTTTTTAGTAAGATATGATTCAAACCAATCAAAACAGTGCCAGAAATCTCAATAAGAACAAGCAGTTTGCTTAAAAGAACTGTGTGATCAACTGAATCAAAGGCTGCACTCGGGTCAGGCAGCTTAAGAACAGAGAGTATTTTTGATCCATATTTTACACCTATGCACAGTAATAGATATAATTTAGAGCAACTTTCACATGAAAGTATACAGTCAGTTAAAAGTCAGTTCTGAACCGACAACAACGATGTATGCGTGGATTAATACACAAAGGCTCCCTCTGCCCTATTTTTAAAAATATCATCAAACTTTTGATGCAAACACATTGACACAATTGTTGAGTCAGCATATGAGAAGTTAGCAGGATTCTGTTTGCCTGATACAGTTTATCAGCAGTTGAAATGTTTCATGCTCTTCATGCCATGGTACAACAATTACTTTCGATTGAAGACAAGTCAGTATCGACCAGTTTTGGTGCCTTCCTGGATGTGTGATCTAGCCATTTAACAACAGTATTACATAAAAGGGTTCCGCTTTGCCTTACTCTCCCGTAAATCAACTTAGAGAAACTGCCAGTGTTTCTGGATCTTGTCTGTAAGTGATTTCCTCTTCAGATAGAACACTTTAACCTGTGTTTGTGGATGCAGCCACAAATCCTGTTCACAGAGAGCTGCTTTCGGAAGTGATCTTGATCTCATGCAGTGAATTCCACAACCAAGCCATGTCTTTTTTTTATTTTAATTGCAGTGCTGCCTGGCTGTCAACAAACCATATTGGTTTTAGGCCTTTCCCCCTTGTGTACAGAGATTTCTACAGATTCTCTGAACCAGTTTATGGTATTATGGACTGCAGATAATGAAATCCCTATTATTCTACGCTAATGAACATAATGAACACACAGTCTCTTACAGAGTGGTGAAGACTTAGCTTCTGCAAAATGCCTTTAATGTATTCATTATTGTTTCTAACCTGTTGTATATCAATCTAATAAGCTAGGAAATGCCCCTCCTGGTATTTTTTTATTTTTTTTCTTATAAGCATGATGCAGCTTTTTTGCTGTTTCTGCTGTCATTGTCCCAACTTTTTCCCCAAAATACTTTACATGTTGTCTTTAAACTTTTTTCAATTACATACATGTAAATAAATATGACTAATGCAGGTTTAATGTATCTGCAAAGATTTACATAGACTTTTATTAACATTTTACTTGGTGGACCATTTTCTTTAAATAAGGGCTTCTTAAAAGAATATGACACCCAACTAGATTTTTTTAAAACAGGTATACCAAATAAAATACTTTATATCCAGTACTTTATAAAAAGTATTTTTTCATTAATCTCTGTTCCTTTATGTCATATAGCTATTATAACTCTGTGGCTCCATCTTTGGTCTATGTGTAACAAGTGCACATGTGAAGTTGTGCACCACAACATACCCATTTTCACCCACAGGGGGAGCCATTACACACTAAGGTGTGAATCAAAGCTCCCCACCCTGCTCATGCACATTCTGTGTGGGCCTTTCCCAGCATCCTCAGCTATTTCATCTTGTCTGACCTAGTATGCTTAAAGGCTGTCCTAGTTTGTTGATGTCAGAAGCTCATTGTAAGTAGTCTAAATAATATCCCCCCTTATAATTTATAACATCAGGTCAGAACATGTCAATAAAAAACATCCTGATTAAAATGCCTTTTCATGTTTTCTTCAAGGAATATTTTCTGTGCGTTAAAACCTTCCATGCCATTTTATAGGGGCTCTAAAAACATTACTTAATCCACTCAGTTAATATTTAAACAACTGATACTCTCTACTCATGCCTGTAAGACACTGTTCCCACTTCCATGCTTAAAAATATTCTTGGCTCTGTTGGTCCATGCTTGGTTGCTAAGTTCTGGTTGTATCCAAGCCCAAGATTTAAACAAGCTGTTGTTCAGCCTCCACTGAAAAAAACAAACCTTGATCCTTCCCTACTCAATAACTACAGGCCCATCTCTAAATTGCTTTTTCTCTCTAAGATTCGACAGAAAGTTGTTGCCTAACAGCTCACTTCTGTCCTGACTTCAAGGAACATTTCAGATAAATTTCAATCTGGTTTCCTCCAGAAACGTTCCACTGAAACTGCTCTTGTAATAGTGCCCAACGATATTATGATGTCCTCTGATGTTGGTGAACGCTCCGTTTTGGTGCTGCTGGATCTCAGTGCATCCTTTGACACGGTTGATCACTGTATTCTGATTAAGGGGTTGAGGCAGTGGGTGGGCATCTCTGAGATCGCCCTAGATTGGTTCTCCACCTAACTCTCTGACAGGAGTTTTTCTGTGTTACTTGGTCCATACGTGTCTAAAACTGCCCTCTCCTGTGGTGTCCCTCAGGATTCTGTATTGGGCCCTTTATTATTAATTGTGTATTTGCTGCCCTTGAGTCACATCATCAGCAAATTCAAGGGTCTTTCTTATCACCTATGCGCTAATGATATCCAGCTGTATGTGTTTCAGTTTCAGTTTATTTGGATCCACCATTAGTTACAGCAAAGAGCCAAAACTCTGATTTAGCCCTAATGATACAGACAAATTGATTATCTTGCTTGATTGTCTGACTGCCATTAAGGACTAGATGGCTCAAAACCTTCTTGTTTTTGAGTATACAGCTCTGCATGGCCAGGCTCCTGAATATAATGCAGACCTGCAATATATTATTCCCCTACATTCCCAGTAGGTCACTCAGGCCCTCTGACCAGGGCTTGCTGGTTGCCCCTCGAGCCCGTCTAAAAATAAGAGGCGACCGTGCTTTTGAAGTGGTAGTTCCAACATTGTGGAACAATCTACCTGGTAATAT